TCTTCAAATTCAAGGGGAAAATACATTACTTCTTCGTATCCATTACTTCTAGTCGCAGTGAATGGCGACCGAGAACATTTGTTCTGCCGTGTCGTCGGGAAGCTTAAACAGACGAACATCGCGGACGGAACGGCAAACGACAAACGGCCAGCAGACGTTCAGCGTTCGTCGTTTTCGCGGTGCTTAATCTAACTACTGTCACAGCTGCCAACGCCAGCGGCGGTCCACGCACTTTAAGCTTTGCGAAAAATTAATGTCAACAGCCTTGCACTTCCATCTGTAGTCGGCAATAATAACGGTAGTGATGGTCTAACAGCAAGAGTTCTGGGTGGACTGTTCACCAATGCATCGTTCAACAACTCTCCGGTGAACATTTCCATCAACTTTCAGTTGAATGCTCATTCCAACAATTCAGCTAATGGCAGTTGCCTGTAGTGAATTTCTACAAATAAAATGATCAAAGTTTTTGGACTTTTCATGAAACACTTGCTTGTTTTGAAAGGAATAAAATATCAATACACGTATTTACACTTCAAGGTACTTACTTTTTATTAATCGCAATGTTAAACTTTCAGCGCTTTCGCTTACACACTTCATTTCTTTCCGTTTTGCCACCAAAGAGATAAAAGGTGTAAATTATTTTCCTTCTCAAGAAAATTCAGTACAAATTTGAAAAAAAGATGTTAAAAATAAACGGCTTGTAAATTCAGTGAAATACCACCATTATCCTTAAATAGTGTGAAGCTTGTTTAAAAAGTTTGAAACCGAATGTAAAAACGAGGTTCAAATAAAAGATGTCGAAGGTTCTAACGTGATCGACTGACCTTGCTACCTATTCGCTAGCGCAATGACAGTTCTGACAAGTTGACTTCAAAATAGGGAAGCTTTAGCAACGACGACGGCGACGGCAACGAAAACGTCGTGTGGAAATCTAACTTTACGTTTTTGTAACTATTTCGAGGTTATTCCGATGTGTTTCACTTGGAAAATGCTGGCGAACTATTCAGGGACTATATCACTACGAACAGCATTAAAGTAAGGAGAAAGAAAGAAAAATTAACCGTCATGCGCTCACGTTCTCGAGAAAACCTAAAGTTTGGTTGTTTCACGTTGTTGTTTTGCCGAGAAAGGCAAAGAAAAGTATCAAAATGTTAAACGCACGTTCAGGGCGATTGTTTTTACTCGTTAAGCCTATCGTTTTCTGCCGTTCTCGTTGCCGTCGCCGTCGTCGTTGCTAAAGCTCCCTATTAGTGGCTTTCAAGGGCGCGCGCTCAGGATGAAAACAATTTTATTGCTGTTTTCTTGTTTTCCTGCTTTTATTCAATGATGCGATTCCAGGAAAATTCCTTACCTGACTCGTGAATTCCGCGTTAAATTGCACTTGAAAACCGATATCGCACTCATCGCTTCGCGATTCGTGTGATATCGGTTATCAAGTGCAATTTAAGGCGGAATTCCCTCGTCAGATAATGAATTTTCTTATATAATAGCGCGACCGTACGTTTATAACGTGGCATGTAGAGTTTCATTTCAGCTGCAAAGTTCCTAGCGTCCAATCAATTCAGCCGCAGTTTTTCAAAACTTTCAAGATTTTTTTTATTCCATCCCGGTTAGGATATACCTTTTGGAGCTGAAAATGAACAGTAAACATGCTTAATATTACTCCATTCGAAAAACAACGATCATGTGGCTCGTTCAAGCAACGAAATTAACTTTGGATTGAACGATTTTTCATTCCCAAATACGATACGAATTATGGCTGGAAAAAGAAAACTAAGCTTTCTGACTTCAAGTGGGGTATTGCAAGGTTCCAGTGGAAACCATTCTTTAGAAGGATAAATATCATTATCAGGTGCTGACATGTCCAAAAAGTATCGCTGAATAGAAGAATTTTTTAAAATCGTAAAATTTTCAGAAATTTCAACACAAAGCTGCGCAATTTTCTCGGCGTGGATTTTAGTAAATAAGGACTCAAGCATGATGAATCTATACTACGCAGTTCCCGCACATGCATAAAATCTAAACGTTTCTCACTTCCAAACGACAACTGAAATTCAAGTTAAGCATTTCCCTACATAAACGTTGGGCCTGGAAATTTTTCTTGGTCATTTTACCTTGCCCCTCTGTTGATAGTTTTCGGGTAGAGCGCGATTACAGGGAAGACCAAGTGCAATTGTAATAAAACTCCGTTTTCGTGCCGAACCTCTGTCCGATAATTATGTGATATTGAATAATTAGGTAATTTGGTCATATCAACTAGGTTGAAATAGTAAATTGGCCACCTTAACGAGTTAAAAAGCTGACGTTTCGAGCGTTAGCCCTTCGCTCTGACGAACGGCTGACGCTCGAAACGTCAGCTTTAAACTTTTTAACTCGTTACGGTGGCCAGTTTACTATTTCTAACTCTGTTTCAACCTAGTTGAAATAACTAAATTACCTTGTTACCCCCGCCGACGCAGCACCACAGTTTCTTTAGAAACTTTTATCCTTTATAAAATAATTAGTTTATACATAGCGTGTTTTTGTAGAGGTATAGATGTACTTGGGAAGTTTTAGGGAACCCAAGAGTCACAAATAGAGAATTACTCGAGGCGAAACCGAAAGCAACCTTGTTTGCTTCCCTCGTGCTCTCCCAACCTCCCGCATGCATCCCTACAAGAGGGGGACTT